AGTAAACAATATAAAAAGCTGTCACTGGAATAATTTTAACAGCCGTCGGACGAGTGTCTTAGAAATGACAGCAGTCTGAATTTGGTTGCAGTTTTTTCTCACCCTGTATATGAACTACAGGAACTATGGGAACTACATGAACTATGTTAACGTAGCGATATGAACTTGCGGAAGAGAATTTTATAAATAGTCGTCATCGAACCTAAGTTTAAGTTTATAAAGCCTGAAATTCAGGAATAACACATTCAGTTACGGATTGTAAATGTAGATGTCGTTATGTTCCAAAGTTAGTCTACAAACCACCGGCTTTATAAGAATTCCATTATTTCACATTCTGTGTCAATTTATGTCAAGGTTCTGAATATTTTTTTATGGGATTATAAATACTCCACCTGACGCTTAACCACAAGTTGTTTCTCTTTCTCCTCTCTTCCTGTCTTGCATTATTATTTGCCATTTTTTATATTCACATTCTTGTAAATGTTGCCATGTGAGACTGAGCGTTGGTTCTCTTTCTTTGCCATGGTGTAATAATAAATGATATGTAAATATTTTTTACACCTTACGAAGAAACAAAACGAACTTAATTATTTTACTATTTATTTTGTTTAGACAGAACTAGACAATTAAATGAAGCAAACAATGAACGAGTGATGAACAAACAATATCATCAGATACCCATATCTAAAAGCATCGCTCTCACTAATACCCATATTTAGTGCTGGAGACTATTTCAAGATCTTTTCTTTTTCTAATCAACGCTAGTTTTGACGACATTCTCCATGGCATGGAAGAAGAAAAGATAAGATAGATCAGGTGAATTCTATTTTTTTTTTATTTTTCGTATCATCTAGAAATTTTTGAGATTTAATACCGGGTATTTGTTGCCAGTTTGGAAAGTTACGCACGCAGCGTTGGCGGCGTCTCTCAACAAATATTACGACAAAAAAAGCGACAGATGATTTTGCAATATTAGGCAGTTTTATGCTTAACTTCACACAATCTAATTTTAAAATGTTGGATGGTTTTCTTTTATCTGAAATTTTGTTTGGAATAGTTTTAGGGATTGCGATGTGAGTTAAGAGGGGGATGAAAATTAAAGACAACCTAGCTAACAACAACTTTTACATGTCCCCTGAAAATAGATATGCTTTATATGCCTCCTATGAATTCAAGATCTTTTATTGGAGTTCTATGGATGGAGGACCATATACATGCCTTCCATGGAAAGAAGTTCAGAGGTCGTTTGAATATTTGATTTATACTTGAAGTCTGTTGCTTAAAGATTTTTTTTACGGGTCCAAAAAGATATATAAAAAAATTCCAATCTTAATCGCCATCTCTATTACCCATAACCCCATCCAAAAAAAAAAAAAAAAAAAAACACTTCCACGATTTTTTTGGTGAAGATATAAATAAAGCGAAATATTCAACTTATCTATGAACCGTAGGGTTTGGTGTTTTTTTGTTTGAATATTTGTTGTAGAATGAAAAAAAAAAAAAACAAACTCAAATATAATAAAATGGGTTTGTTGGTACGGGGTTTATGGTGGGTGGTTGGTTACTTGCTCGCATGGTACCCATAAGGCCTGCTGTTAATATCTCTTTTGTATGTGAAGGCAATTAAAGTTCATGTTTAATTGTGTATATATATTTCTTTTCTACTTTTTTTTGGGCAATTCTTTTTTTCTTTTGTACTTTTTTTTTGTTATTTATGTTTGTGATAAACAAAACGCATGCAAGAAATTAAGGTGTGAACAATTTTTTATTATTGTGTCACTCAGTCAAGTTTAATTTTAATTTAATTGTTCGTTCTGTTTTATTTTTTTTTCGTCTTGATATTGCTCGTGTTTTGTTGTTGTTGTTGTTGTTTTTGTAGATTTTTGAAGGTTATTGTTGACTCATATGAATGGAGTGGGTGTAATATTTAATCATAGGTATTTTTTTTTAAATAAATTTAAAGGAAAATGCGAAAATTAAATAAATATATATGGCGCCCAACGTTTTACTCCCAAATTGAACTCGAAATTTTTACTTTCTTTTGAACCGTTCCCATTATTGGTATATTTTGAAATAGTTTAAAATTAAACTTCGGAAATTCACAAAAAAAAAACAACAAAAAAACAATAAGGAAAAGTCAAAATTTTGTCGGCGCCGACTATATGATATCCTACAGAGCTTCCTTAACAAAAGAATTTATTTGGAAATTCACAAAAAAAAACAACAAAAAAACAATAAGGAAAAGTCAAAATTTTGTCGGCGCCGACTATATGATATCCTACAGAGCTTCCTTAACAAAAGAATTTATTTGGAGTAATCATACCACCTATCAACATTTGGCTTTAGAGCAGTTATAATTTGGGAACTAATACGGGTGAGATGAAAAAACTGCAACCAAATTCAGACTGATGCCATTTCTAAGCCACTCGTCCGACAGCTGTTAAAATTATTCCAGTGACAGCTCATGATATTGTTTACAAGCGTACAAAAGCATTTTGGAGAGAATTTTCCAGAAAAAAGTTATGCGTAATGGAATTCAAGCGTGATAGTGTGATTTCTTTATATTTGGCTGGAAAACCACAAGTGGCTATTGTTAGAGCACTCCAGCATTTAAATGTTAATAAATCTTTTGTAACGAGCGATTTATTCACATTTAAATGCTCTTCGGCAAATATTGAAAAATGTAAAGCCATTGAAATTCCAAAAAGTGCAAGAACTTACACCGCAACAGAAAGAAAATAGACTCAAAAGAACCAAAAAGTTGCTTCGCTTGGCCGAAAGTGGTGAACTGTCGAATTTGGTTTTCTCCGATGAGAAAACATTCGTTGTCCAACAGTTTGTAAAAAAAAAACAAAATGATAGGGTTTACTTGCTAATGAGGTCAGCTGTACCTTCGGTTGGCCACCAGAACTCAAGCGCCGGCCATGGTGATGGTGTGGGCCGTCATAACAGCTCGTGTTAATCGACCTTGGCATCAGAATAAATGCCGAAAATTATCGCAAAAATATTCTGGAGGGTGTATTAAAGCCTTGGGCTTGCAAATATTCTGGCCGCAGACCTTGGACACCCCAACAGGACTCAGCACCATCGCACGCGCCACCGAAGAATGGTTACAAAATGAGGTTTCTCGCTTCATTTCCAGCGCACAATGGCCACCAAAAATCTCCGGATACCAATCCGTTGGACTATTTTGTCTGGAGTATTTTGGAAAGCAAGGTTGGCACTAAAAAATACCAAAGTGTCGATCACCTTAAGCAAGCGCTTCGCCTGGAATGGACCAAAATACCGCATTTAAAAAAAAAAATGAAAAATGGTGGCGTTTGACTTTGTTGCAGTTTTTTTTATTTCACCCTGTATATCTGAACCGAATTTTCATTAAATTTGACGTACTGGCTTCTAGACTTAATTCGGTAGGTCGTGCCAAAATGCACTCCATTTTTGCTGATATTAGCCATTATTTGCACAATAAACCTGAATTTGGATTAACGATATATAAATATGTTAATAAAAAATAAAAAAAAGGTATTTCCGAGCTCTATAAGATATCTAGTACCAAATATCATTCTTTTGGAGTGCATATTACGAATGTGAGGGTCTAAAACACCATATCGGATGAAATATATATATAAGGAAGGTATAGCTACATCTGAACCGATTTCCAATTTTTATCTATTTGCTTCTAGACTGAATTCGGTGGGATGTGCCAAAATTCAGGTCATTTGGACTGATATTGGCCATTTGGTGGTCAATTAACCCATTCATATTCAGAATAAATTGTAGAAGTGGCGCCCAACGTGCGATTTATGGAGTCTTTTCGATTGTATATTTTCCTTTTGATTGTATATTTGAAAAATTGCTTATGACTAGGTTTGATGACGTTTCCCAAGAAATGATTTTGATAGAATTCGGGAATAAAGTGTCTCAGTGTAATAAAAATGGCACCCAACTTAAATATTTTTTTATTGTTTTTAATAACTTCAAAGCACTTTTTATCGGCATAAGATTGAATCTTATTAGTTTTTGAGAAAATATGCAATGAAACCAAACAGATATAATTTCATTGAGTCCAAATGGATACAATTTCTATAAGGTTTTGTGAAAAATTGGAAAATAATTTGAAACAAAGTTATCAAGCATATGAATTTTGAAAATGGCGCCCAAATGGATTTATTTTTGTACTGAATTTGGGCGCCCAATTAATATATACGTGTTGGTAGCTCTAATGACTTTTACTTCACTGTCTATCTTAAAATGTCCAAATAAGTTTGTTAAAATAGGCTAGGGATAATCAACCGGCTAAAAGGAATTAATCTAGTAGAAAATGGCGCCCAACGTGGATGTATTTTCCTATTAATTGATGTCCAACTGAAATATATTTTTGGTTATCTCTAATGATTTTTATCACACTGTCCATCTTCCATGACCAATTAACTGTGAAAGGCCGGTAGAAATAGAATAAACGACTTGTAAAGAAAATGGCGCACAACATGAATGTACTTTTCTACAGAATGACGCTCAACTGCAAAAAATTGGTTAGCTCAAGTCTTTTTTATGTTCAAGGAACCTAGTAAGAAGGTTAGAGATAGAAATAAAGTCTAAAAGAAACTACTCCAGAAAAATGGCGCCCAACATGGATATAGTTTCGTTAAGTTTTCTGTTTTAAATAATTTGAAACAAAGCTATTAGCCACAGTTAAATTGCTCTCAGACCAGCGTCTTCTTTCAAATTCTTTCACAATTTTTATTTATTATGTTCTGGCTTAGCTCCTCATTTGATATAAATCCTGTTTTCCCATTCGTAGTATGGCCTCGTCCTTTCGTGGGCTTCCCTGAAAAATTTTCTTGATGTCAATGTCTATACAAATATTGAAGTGATAAAATTGCATGAAGCTTTTATTTCAAGTATTTTCAATTTCCAAAATTAAATAAATCATAAAAATATTTAATTTTGCCCAAATTCAAATATCTAATTCCCTCCTTTCCCTTTTCTCTATTTTTCAGGTAAAACCCGCACCAAGGATAAATATCGCGTTGTCTACACCGACTTTCAGCGTTTGGAATTGGAAAAAGAGTACTGTACATCACGCTACATCACCATACGACGCAAAACCGAATTGGCCCAGACGCTATCGCTGTCAGAGCGTCAGGTGAAGATATGGTTTCAAAATCGTCGCGCCAAGGAACGCAAACAAAACAAGAAAGTCAGTGAGCCCAGCATTGGCGGTGTCCAGCATCCCGACTATGCCAATTTGATGGATACAAAACCGAAACTGGAACCCGGTATACATTTGCAACATTCCCTGCATTCGATGGCAGCCATGGGTATGCCAGCAATGCGTTTACATCCACATTTGCATGGGCATCATCATTTGGCTGTGAGTGCTGCCCATTCACATCAATTGCATCAATCGCCGCATGCCCAGATATCAGCGGCTGTGGGTAGCCTATCGATGTGACAACCTTATGCGACAAGCTTAGATGGCGGCAGCCTAGTTTGCCCAAATAGCAATAATCATAATTTTATTAATAATCAGAGCAGCAGCAGCAGCAACAACAACAATAGTAGCGGCAGCATCCACCATGGAGGTGATGAGGAACAAAGTATTTTGCATGATCTAGCAGCTGTGGCGTTGGGCGCCGATGATGTTGAAAGTGCATTGGCCGTTGTGGCGGCAGCTGCTGCTGTCACTGGCGCCGACGGCAATGACAATGTTAATGGTGACAGTACCGTCGGCGGCGTTGGCGGCCATGAATCAGCATCATGTCTAGCATGCAATAATCCAACCTGCCCTAGTGAATTATTATTACCACTTGGCCCATCGCACTGCCACACAGCTTAGATATAAAGCACAGGAGAGAATCACACCTGCACCCAGCCACAGCCACAGTGACGATTGGTCAATATCCTAACAGGGTTATATAAAATTTAATGTCTAGTTTTAGTGTTTATTTTTTGTTAGTTTTTAAGTTCCCCATAGAGTTGGGTGGCACCCCGATAACACCTTGTGGCCGATAATGCAAGTGTATGCGTGTGCGTGAGAGTGGGAATGTAATCATTTTGTCTGTATGTGTAAATAGTTGTTATTTTAGTATGTCAACTGCAGTTGAATATTGCACGTGTTGTCTTTTGTGATTGTATATTCCAACTGTTGTTGAGACGTACTAATTTATCGTCCCCCTCCCCCCCATCTCCCTACTTTTCCCTGAAAACCCTTTGTGTGGTTACATTCCTTCTCCTGCACACACCTTGCATTTTTGGCAATGTGTTATGTTTTTGGCCATCTCTTCTCCTCACCACCCCCAATCCCCCTTTATATTAAGTAAAAACCATTTATGTGTTTTTTTATTATTATTGTTTTTTTGTTTTGAGTTTTTTTATTTTTAGTTTTTTTTTTTGAGTTATTTTTATTTAATTTTTTGTCATCATAATATTGAACAAGAAAAAAACAAATAATTAAGCTAATATTAAGTTTACTACTACTACTACTATGCCTTACAACGCACACACACACACCCATACATAGAGAGAGAAATATCAAACATTTGTAGCCGTCCTTTAAAAAAAAAAAAAACAAAAGAGATCACAAGAAACCACAACTCGTAAGATTAAGTTAAAAAAACTAAATAATATTAAATTAAAAAGGGGGCGTAAAGGGTTATAGGCGACGAAATCGTTTTCTACTACCTCCCACAAATGGTTAGGTTTTGAAATTCCATTTGGTTTTCCTTTAACTATTCCAATTGGGAAATTTAAATTTCAAATCGATAGCTTACAACCCAAAACGCCTCCCACCCCTCTTTGTAATTATAAGTGAGAAAAAAACCAACAACATCAATTAACGAATTTTTGTTCAATACTGTGCAATTATCTATAACTACAACACACTTCTACCCCCACCCCCCCTCACTTACTTATCTTATGTAAATATGACCCCTCCCAGAACACAAATGAATTTCTAGTTTCTATTTCTACTATTTATGTGGTCATTCTTTATTTTTTAATTTTTAAATATAGCCTATATTTAATTAACGTTTATTACTTATTAAATAATAAGAAACAAATTAGCAACAACAACAAAAATATTTCTCTAATTTAGTTAAAATTAAATAAAATAATAATTAAAATTAAAATTATAATAAAAAAGCTTAAAGACAAAATAAATCTACTACTTATAATAAAAAATAAAAAACCAAATTGTGTATAAAATATTTTTTTAAAGATGGAAGGAATTTATTGACTCACAGGAAAAGTGCAGGTGGTAGAACATCACATCGAGAACATTCATCGCACATGCATGAATTCGACAAATTGCATATGTAATTTTGTAAGTTTGCCGACAGATGTATACCCTCAGTCAATGTTCGATTATTTAAATATATTTTGATTTCTGTTATGATTATTTAAATGTTTGACCCCCTAATGGAGTAGGTTGCTGAAGAAATGGCCAATATTCTCCCTTTCGTATCATACCTAAATAAGTCTATATCTATAGAAGAGGAAAATGTTTGTATGTTTGTAATTTATGGACTTGAAAACCGCTGCACAGATTTTCCTGAAAAATTTCAAGCGTACTACAAGATCGCCTAAAAGTAATATAGACTTCAATAAATTTTTGAATTTCTACTAGGATCTGGAGATATAGCATCAGAATCGGAGGTAGTTCCCAAAAATTTAGATTTTATACGCACATATCCATTGATCAATTACAGATGCAGTCTCCAAATTTGGAATGTTTAACGGAATTTGGAAAAAAAATAAATTTGCCAAATTACATTGAAATCGGTTCATATTTGGATATAGCTCGCATATATATATATTTACGGCCGATTTCACAAATTTGATGCACCGCGTGTCCGATTCCAATGAAATTCGGAAAAAAAACGAAATTTGGTACTGCAAAAAATTTTCAAATTATTATTTTGTATAGTATTTTGTTTCTGCAAAATGGTCAGGCTTAATCCCTTTATTGTTGTTTTTATAAAAACAACGTGTTAATTAGTGGAAAATGATGTTAATATTTACCAGGGGGTAAGGCAGGGAATTCCTAGGTTTCGGAAAGAGCCACCAATCCTCATCAGTTCCCTTGTTTCTTTTTTTTTGTCTGGGATATTATCCCCAGAAATTATTTTAAAATAAAGTGCGGTTGTAAGATTTAGAAGATTTTCCAAAAGAATTTTAGTTTTATTTGATTCTTTGATTGCTCTTCTATTGAGCTTATGATCTCGTCACTTGGGTAAAAAATGTTTTTTTTTTTCAAATTCTATTGAAATCGTTTGAGGTTTGGGTATAGCTCCCATATATATATTTCGGTCAATATCATGTATATTATGCACCAAACACGATATGTACAGGGTTAGATAAAAAACTGCAACAAAGTCAAGCGCCATGATTTTTACATTTCTCTTTAAGTTTTATTGAAGAAAGCAAAAAATGTCGGAAATAGCATCAAATTTTAGAATAAGTTTAGATTTGTTCGAATTGGTCACCTTTGGCACGAATTATGGCCTTCAAACAGCCAATTAAATCATCACAAGCTACCCGAATGTTGCTCTGCGGTATTTTGGCTCATTCCCGGCGAAGCGCTTGCTTGAGGAGATCGACACTTTGGTATTTTTTAGTGCCAACCTTGCTTTCCAAAATACTCCAGACACAATGGTCCAACGGATTGGTATCCGGAGATTTTGGTGGCCATTGTGCCCTGGAAATATAGCGAGGAACCTCATTTTGTAACCATTCTCTGGGCGGCGCATGCTGAGTGCGGTGGTGTTAAGTCCTGTTGGAATGTTAAAGGTCTGCGGCCAAAATGTTTGCGTGCCCAAGTGTTTAATACACCCTCCAGAATATTTTCGCGATAATATTCGGCATTTATTCTGATGCCACGGTCGATTAATATGAGCGGAAAGCGACCGTCGGCTGTTATGGCGGCCCACACCATCACCATGGCCGGCGCTTTAGTTCCGGTAGCTTACAGAAGGTGCACAGTTTTAAGCTGACCTCTTTAGCAAGTAAACACGATCATTTGTTTTTTTACAAACTGCTGGGCAACGAATTTTTTCTCATCGAAGAAAAACCAATTCGGCAGTTCACCACTTTCGACCAAGTGAAGCAACTCTTTAGCTCTTTTGAGTTTATTTTATTTCTGCTGCGATGTAAGTTCTTGCACTTTTTGGAATGTCAATGGCTTTACCCCGAGTTCATTTTTCAATATTTGCCGAATGGATTATTCCGATATGTTCAGCTCACGAGCCAATTTTCGGTCACTGCGACGCGGGTTTCGATCAAGTCGCTTCTTTACATTTCGAACCATTTGTGCTGATTTTGCTGTTTTCTTCCGTCCAGGTCCTTGACGTCGGGTTACGCTACCAATATCACATTAACCAGCGATAGTATGAGACATAAAAGATTTATTCACATTTAAATGCTGGAGTGTTCTTACGATAGCCACTTGTGGTTTTCCAGCCAAATATTAAGAAATCACACTATCACGATTGAATTCGATCACGAATAACTTTTTTTTCTGGAAAATTCTCCCCAAAATGCTTTTGTACTCTTGTAAACAATATAATGAGCTGTCACTAGAATAAGTTTAACAGCTGTCGGACGAGTGGCTTGGAAATGACAGCAGTCTGAAAGTGGTTGAAGTATTTTCATCTCACCCTGTAGTTGACTGAAGTACTCCATTTTCATACTTCTTCTAATACAAATAATTGGTTTGTGCAAAATTTTGAAGGAAATCGAACACTTATATCCAATTTTATGGGAAATAATAAATTTCGATAAATTACAAATTCATATCTGATTTCTGGTTAAGATAAATATTTAGATATAGCAAGTTGTAAAAAATCGCCGACTTGTTTCGCAAGTTATGACAGATTATGACCCTTTGTGGGTGAGGTACGGACGGGCACTGACATCACATTTTATAAGAGTTATAATCATTCAAATGTTTGACCCTTTTATTATTCATTTTATTCATTTTCATACCTAACCTAGCACTGATGCAAATATTAGGATTTGCAAAGTTGGAGAAAAATCGGAGTACGGTTTCTCTTTCTGTGCAGAAAATATATATATTTTTAATGTCGACCTTTTGTGGGGGAGTTACCAGAAGGAGTCGACCGATATATTCCATTTAAACGTCAGACCTTGGGTTAATAAAAATATTGAGTTGTGTGAAATTTGAAGGCAATCGGACACTTACATCACATTTTATAAGAGTTATAATTATTCCAAATTTTGATGGCGTGGTCCACACCAGACCTAGCACTAATGCAAATATTAGAATTTGCAAAGTTGGAGCAAAATCGGTTGATCCTTTCTCCTTTCTGTACAATAAAATATATTCTTTGAAAATGTTGACCTTTTGTGGAGGAGGTACCAGAAGGAGTGTACCGAAATTGCCCATTTCCGAACTGCATCTAAGTTTGATAATAGTATTGCGATGTACCAAGTTTGGACTAAATCGGATACTCCCTTCGAGAGTTATCGTGCGCACCATCCAGACAGACATACCAACGGACGGACATTGCTAGATGGACTCTATATGTTCCGACACTACTTTGGTCCAAAGAGCTGCGCATAACAATTAAAACTTTTTATGGAAGAATTCAATCATACACGCTATGATTATAACTATAATTTAAAGTTCAAAGGACTAAATATGCCGAAGCATTTTGTATTTAATATATTTCCCTGAATATCGTGGTTACGGAGTGCATATTACGGCTGTGGGTAATAAATATGACAAATCGGACGAACAGTATATATGGGAGCTATAGCTATATCTGAACCGATCTTCACCAAATTTGGCATACTAGCTTCTAGACTCAATTCGGTCGTAAGTGCCAAATTTCATCCCATTTGGGCAAATATTAGACGTTTGGTGCACAATCCAAGGTAAATGGGAGCTACATCTAAATCTGAACCGATCTCGATAAAATTTAGCTAAGGTGTTTCTGAGCTGTATTTGAACCGATTTCGATAAATTTTGGCATACTTATTTTCAGGCCTAATTTGGTTGTATGTGCAAAATTCCATACTAGTACACGTTTGGTGCACAATAAAAGGAAAATCGGACGAAGATATATATGGGAGCTATATCTAATTTTTTACCAATTTTCTCCAATTTCAATAGAGTTCGTCCTTGGGCCAAACAAATGTTGTTTGAAAAATTTCATCTCAATCGGATAATAAATTCCACCTGCATTTTGTTTACAAAAATACATGGACAGACGGACGGACATGCATAAATCGACTCAGAATGTGATTCTATGCAGATCATCAAAAGCGACTATGGGTTTATCTCGTTTCTTTTTGCCTGTTACAAACAAATGCACAATGACATAATACCCTGACCACCTTGTGGTGTAGGGTATAAAAAAAAAAACAGAATATAAAAAACATATGATTAAGTCACACAAGATTTTCCAAATGGCAGCAACATCTCCAATTAGCAACTCTCAAAAGAATCATAGATCCAAACAAACTTTTATTTTTGTTTTCAACAACTCCATATTAATTGATCACCCACAAAAATTAACGTATCAGCCGGGTTCCCATCCCGCATCTAATCAAAACAAATAACCGGTTCGATTCAATGACTTCGAAAGCGAAGGAGTTGATTAGCATGCATTTGGAAATTTAGCGACAAGTATTTTTAGAGCTCATGCACTAATTAATGAACTTGAATTGGCTCAAATCGGTCCGATTACCGAGAGTGGCAGTTCCAGTGAAATATCAAAACAAAAATATGTGTTAAGTGCGTAGGTGATAGATAAGTTTGTATGTATTTATGTGTGTGTGTTTTGGCAAATTTTTAAAACAATGGAGTGGTGATTTTGATGGAAAAAAATTGATAAAGATATAAGGAAGGCATAGTAAGAAGGTGGAACAGATCATGGTATACCCTACATCAATAAACCTTTATTTATTAAAATAATTTTGTACATTAATATCATAGGTCATTTAAAGTAGCTCAAAATGGATCTCGGAAGAGTATCCATTGCTGAATAGCAGGAGCACCTCAGTAGATTATTTGAAAACATAATTTGTCTAGAATTTCGTATTTGGACTTCACGTTA